TAATTTTTTATTTGATTATATTATAAAATGTAATTTTTTACCTGTGATGTAAATCAGAATTTTCAGCATCATTATACTGAGACAGTCTTCAGTGTCACATGATCCTTCAGAAATCAGTCTGATATGCTGATTTGCTGCTCAAGAAACATTTCTTATTATTGGCAATGTTGAAAACATTTTTTTTTGTGGGAACCGTGATTGTTTTAATGTCATGACTCTGCATTGATTTTCTCCGTTCCTGTCTGTCTCTGTCGTTCTGTAGGTGCTGAAGACTCGTCTTACTCTTCGTAAAACAGGCCAGTATTCGAGTGTGGCGGACTGCGCCAAGCAGATCCTGCAGAAGGAGGGCGTTCTGGCGTTTTATAAAGGATACCTGCCCAACATGCTAGGCATCATCCCGTATGCAGGCATAGACCTCGCCATCTACGAGGTGTGTGTGTGTGTGATGAGAAGGATTCCTTCATAAAGGCTCTCTCTCACGCTGTCTCCTCTCTCAGACGCTGAAGAACGGCTGGCTGCAGCGGCACGCGGAGGGCTCGCCCGACCCGGGCGTCCTGGTGCTGGTGGGCTGCGGCACTGTGTCCAGCACCTGCGGACAGCTGGCGTCCTACCCGCTCGCCCTCATCCGAACACGCATGCAGGCGCAGGGTGAGACACACACACAGAATCAGACGAGAGCTGTGCTTCCTTCCCAGACTACAAATGTTAACTTCTGTGGAAAAATGGATTATCACATAAAATATTTGAGAATAAAGCATAGTTTCCATCCTTAATGTTCATTTAATTAAAAAGTAAAAGATATATATATATATATATATATATATCTTACATTTATAAACTTTTTGATATTAATATTTTAAAAATTTACACTGACAATAATTAGTACATTGCCGTTCAAAACTTTGGGTTCAGTAATTTTTGAAAAACGTCTCTTCTGTTCACCAAGGCTGCATTTATTTGATGAAAAATTCACTCCGTTCCTGTCTGTCTCTGTCGTTCTGTAGGTGCTGAAGACTCGTCTTACTCTTCGTAAAACAGGCCAGTATTCGAGTGTGGCGGACTGCGCCAAGCAGATCCTGCAGAAGGAGGGCGTTCTGGCGTTTTATAAAGGATACCTGCCCAACATGCTAGGCATCATCCCGTATGCAGGCATAGACCTCGCCATCTACGAGGTGTGTGTGTGTGTGATGAGAAGGATTCCTTCATAAAGGCTCTCTCTCACGCTGTCTCCTCTCTCAGACGCTGAAGAACGGCTGGCTGCAGCGGCACGCGGAGGGCTCGCCCGACCCGGGCGTCCTGGTGCTGGTGGGCTGCGGCACTGTGTCCAGCACCTGCGGACAGCTGGCGTCCTACCCGCTCGCCCTCATCCGAACACGCATGCAGGCGCAGGGTGAGACACACACACAGAATCAGACGAGAGCTGTGCTTCCTTCCCAGGCTACAAATGTTAACTTATGTGGAAAAATTGATTATCACATAAAATATTTGAGAATAAAGCATAGTTTCCATCCTTAATGTTCAAAAGAACAAAACTGTCAATGTATAGGAAACCGGTGAAAAGTATCACCAATAAAATATTACGTTGCTGTTATTTTCCCCCCACATAGTTATTGAGTTGCGGCTCAAAGTGCGCAGACAAAATGCAATAAAAACACTGCTATGTTATCTTGCATTCAAACGCCTGATGTTTGGGAATGCAATCGTGTGAGACAGATGAGTTAGATTTTTTTGCACATTGAGGAATTTATTCAGTAAATGGATTTCTATCATAGTTCAAGTGCATGGCTTCTTATCAGATACACAATTATGCACCTCATTTGACCGCATACGTTTTTTTATGCACATTTCTACATTTATATCCAGTTTTTTAAAGTGATATCCCCGGATTCAGATAAGTGCTGTTATCCTTAACTAAAACTAAAACTGTAAACAAAAACATTTTCGTTACTTGAAATAAAATAAACATTAATTGAAATAAAATATAACATTATTTCAGCTACACTGAAAAACAATTGGTGTAGAAACAATTTTCATTCAGAAATTGCTAGTAAATTTTACAATCACAAAGAAATGGCAAGTAACACACTGAATTAAGCATTACATTTTTGAAAAACTGTAAAACATGCTCAAATAAGCTTTGTTTTATTATAACTTTGAAAAATCAGTTTTTACATTGTAGTTACCAAGGCAACATTTCTCATTTTGTTTCGTTAAACTTCAAGTACTCAAATAATTAAAACCAAAATTAAAAAACTATATAGACATATTTACAAAGACTAATAAGAATGACAAAATTACACAACTAAAATTGAAATCTACAAATAAAAACAATCGAAATACAAATAAAACTATAATAATATACTATTGATACTAAAATACCACTAATTCTGAAGGTTTATTGGTATCATAAGAAGTTAAGATACTATTTCCTCTTCTGGTTCCTCAGCGTCAGTGAAGGGAGCTCCTCAGTTGTCCATGTTGACCCTGTTCAGGAATATCGTGGCTCAGGAGGGTGTGGTGGGACTCTATCGAGGCATCGCTCCCAACTTCCTCAAGGTCATCCCGGCGGTCAGCATCTCCTACGTCGTCTACGAGCACATGAGGAAAGTACTGGGAGTGGGAACCTGAGAGAGAGAGAGAGAGAGAAAGAGAGACAGGTCATGTGTGTGTGTAGAAAAAATACAATCGAAGACTTGTTTATTTAAGCTATCACTGGAGTGATGTTCACCAAAAACATTGGATGTGAGGAAGAACGACAAACTGAGTCCAAACACTGAAATATGCAGAATCTAAGAGGTGCTGTTCTGACCCAATCCTGAATTACTGAGGTTCACGATGTGCTCTTCATGTGTGTTTGTTGGTCAACAGGGCCCTGATATTCAGGTATACAGGGTACGGCCCTCTGGATGCGGTAAAATGAACGACTGTGTGAGCATGTGCTGTACTATACTGTGTGTGTGTTTAACCCAGTGCACACTACTGAACTCCAAATGGGAATGGACAATAAACTAACTTCCTCCCTTTGAACTTATAGTACAATTGAAAGTGCCTCTGCTTCGAGAAACATGTATGTTTTATCTGTGGTCCAGTAATATGCCTCTTCTACTGTACTGAATCCCTGTGTGCTCCGAAATCACCATGCCAACCAATCAAGAGTTCTAGAATCCTCAACTGAAGATTCCGTAACTCAGATTGAATAGTTCACCCCAAAATGAAGATTAGCTAAATATGTACTCACATTCAAGCCCATCTAAGATGTAAATGGGTTTGTTTTTTCATGGGAACAGATTTGGAGAAATGTAGCATTGCATCACTTGCTCAGCAATGGATCCTCTGCAGTGAATGGGTGCCGTCAGAATGAGAGTCCAAACAGCTGATAAAAACATCACAATAATCCACACACCACTCCAGTCCTTCAGTTAATGTTTTGTGAAGAGAAAAGCTGCGTGTTTGTAAGAAACAAATCCATCATTAAAGCATTTTAAATTCAAACTCTTACTTCCAGCCAAAATATGACTCCATAATCCATAATACTGCTTTCTGCAGTGAAAAAGTCATCTCATCTGGTTCAGGAGATAAATATGCACAGATTTAGCAGCATTTGCAGGTTGACTCTTAACTTTTATAAATATCTCTTTGGATTTGAGACTTTAGTCTTTGCAACTTTACAGATCTTCTTTATGCACCAAGAGCTTGTACTCCAAAGAGAAAGGAAACATTGAAATCGCATCATATGACCTCTTTAAGGTTATGAATTTAGCTAGATACTAACACTAACAAGCAAACAGTAGATAAGTGGTATCGATACACACTTAATGACCCAACACTGGCATACTATCTTACTACAAACTCAGAAGTACTTTTACTCTGTACTTTGTACTTTCAGTGAGTAGTGTAGGTGTCTGAATTGGGACGCAGCCTTGGAGTTCAGTTTATATAGCTGTTATCCTCAATGCATGAGGTACTGTAGACTAGGGTTTGGAGCAGAAAGCCTTATGGGTGTTTGTTTTTGTGATTTTTGACTCACGGAGTGTATCCAATCAAGTGCTCTCAAGAACGACAATGTCCCTCCCACTTATTCAGGTATGACAGACACTGGCTATTTAAATAATAGTTATTTACTAAAATAATTATGCTATCTGCTTGCAATAAAAGCTAAATATTTGCCATGTTTACATCCATTCTGCAAAATTTACCCACAATTAGTGTGGGAAGTGTGAGAAAAAAACTGTTCAGATTTCGTTTGGGTCTCCTAATTTCTAGTGGTTTTGTATGCATACATTATTATTGTTCTTATTTTGATGTTAACGAAAAATCATGTATGGTCATTATATACTGTTGCTGTCCTTCCGTGTATTTTTCTTTGTAAGGAAACTAAAGTCTATTACTGAATGCATGTATGAGAATGTATGTAAATTAAATTAAATTAAACAGTTCAGAGTCTTTCTTGACGGTCTTTATCATCATTATAACACCAGCTCATCTCTCTGCTGTACGGAAACTGTATTTCACTAACCCATAAAAATGCCAAGAAAATGCATTGAGCATCAGAATAATATAACCGCCAAGGTTAAACGGTCCTAAAGAGCCTATACGCTGATCCAAACGTCCATCATTGCCTATCAGCGTTTTCTCGAACCTCATTGGGCTATTTCATGCGTTGCCCAGTGCTGATTGGCTCCCTCACACAGCGGCACGCTCTGTGCGTCGCGTTCGGTCATCCCTCACTCATTGGGTGAATGGTCCAATGCGCACGCTACGCCCGCCTCCAGCTGCCCTCTGATTGGTCCTCGCAACAGCCACTCATTAAGAACGCCTATAGGAGGCCGCTTTCAGACCCGCAGGCCTTTAGTCCCTCCTTCCATGCGTTTGTCTCGCTCGTCTTCCCGCGTCTGCGCACCTCCGCCAGGCCTAGATCTCCCCGCCGTCTCCCGCACACTTCACCCTCCGCACGGACAACATGTCTGAGTACAGCGCGATGCCGCCGCCCGGTGCCGGTGGATTCAAGAAAGACGCGTTCGCCGACGCGGTGCAGCGCGCGCGGCAGGTGAGAGATCCGCACTGCGGGCCGCGTTTGTGGGCCAGCGCGAGGGCCGCGGCACATGAGCCGGCGCGCGCCACAATCATCCGTTAGCACGAGCCGCGATCGCGTATGGTTTTGAACAATAGCAATATCTGGTTACTAGTTACCGTTACAAACGAATGCGGTACTATGGTACAGAAATGTTAGCACAGAATAGGTATTTAGCGCGGTATGTAGTGAATGATTATATTCACGTATCACAGTAACTTACTTACACTAGTCCACGGGGTAACGTTAACATGGCGCTGCCCTACCGCTGTAAATGTCCAATAAACATCGTATTACCATGGTATTTCTACCCCTTTTGTACCCTAACAAAAAGAACCACGGTACTACCATGCGTTTTAACATGTGTAAGGCTAGTAACGTTACCATGGTTTTATTGGGGTACACATGCTGTAAAACATGCTAGCATCGTGGTATCATGGTAAAAGCAGTGTTATTTAGGGTTATAGACTTAACTATATATGTGTATATATAATTTGTGGCCATTACTAGGGTAACTTACAGCAGTGGATTTAGATGATAGATATACAATGGTACTTTTCATATGCCGTTCTACAGAGTTTTGGACATTTATTTACCATGTTTTTACGTTGTTTTCTAAGGCATTTCAAAGAATACTATGGAAAGCAATAGTGTTTGTCCAAAAAAACAAAGCAGAATTAAGCCCTGTGTAACACTGATGGTGATAATAGGAAATATTTCTCAATCAGCAAATTAACATTTTAGCATGATTTCTGAAGGATCATGTGACACTGAAGACTGACGTAATGATGCTGAAAATTCAGCTTTGATCACAGCAAAAAATTACATTTAGCAATATAGTCACAGAAAAGCGTTATTTTAAGTAGTAATAAAATATCAAATTTTCTGTGTTTTTGATCAAATAATTGCAGCCTTGGTGAGTCAAGAGACTTCTTTGGAAGATCTGGAACAAAAAATCTTGCTGACCCTAAACTTTTGAACAGTAGTATCTATATATATTTCAATGCATAATTTTACAGGAAAATGTATAATGTGACTAGCAATTAATGGTAACTTCATACTGATTTTGCTGTATAAATGTGGTGTGTTTTGTGTTTTCCAGATCGCAGCAAAGATCGGCGGAGACGTCACAGGTCCCCCCATGAGCAATAACGGCGGAGCGGAGAGCTATGCCTTCGCGGCACAGAAGCGATCGCTGGAGGACGGAGGTACGGCGGCAGAGAGGCGCGCTCTGGATCTGTCCATCGGTCTCTCCTGAGATTGTTTTTGAGCTGTTCTTGTGTTTTCCCCTCAGATCAGCCTGAGTGTAAGAAGATGGCGTCTGACAGAGACAACGCTTCAGCACTGTGTACGTCTTTCTTTGCTTTTTTTGCTCATATGAACACACCGACTCACTTTTAGCTACTCAAAGCAAATGTCTGTGTATTTTTAGCGCAGTGATTTTATCCTTCTCTCATCCACAGCTATCGGAGCCCAGCTGGCTGCCCTTTCCCAGCAGAGGTAAGACAGTCCTCCTGTGCGCTCTGATCAGAGTCGTTAGACAGATCTCAGATCTGAGCGCTTGGGAAGGCAGGAATAACTACACAGGCCTGTATGATTAGGCTGGGTTGGGTTTCCGCTGACTCCATCAGACGTGTTAAGCCAAATACAGGGGTCTTGAGGTGCTCGTGTAAAAGTTGGACTATTTTAATGTGGTGTCTTCAAAACGTAACAAGATCTTAATGTATATCTTTTTTTACATGGATTCATATCAGTTTTTCTGAAAAGGCTTTCGGCCGCGAGTTAGTAAGACCTGAACGTATGTTTCTGCTAGTACTTTTCCTGACTGTTGTGTTTGTTTTTGTCTTTGTGTAGCGTACGTCCCTCGTCTCTCACAGAAGAGTACAGAGTCCCTGACGGCATGGTTGGGCTCAGTAAGTTCACATTACCCATCATGCACTGGTCCGTACTCTAGCTTTCCTGAGTGAATCTCAGTTGGGTAATATTTTTTGCCAAAATCAAAAGGAAGCAAAAATCTATATTTTCTGCAAGCTTTTTTCAAGATAAATTTAGATGTCTTTCCAAAAAAGTACACTTAGAAACTCCAAAAGGACACCAAAGAATTAGGGATGCTCCGATCCGCCTTTTTCGCCTCCGATACCTAGGGTTCGGTATTGGCCGATACCGATCGGATACCAGTGAAGTTTTTTCCCCTCATTTAAATAAATGTAGAATTTATATATCTCTGTGTGTGGAACAGATAATCATTCTTTCACAATCTACTAGATACAGACTACTTCATTATAAAGAAAAATAAAATAAATATGAAAAAATATAAGCCTATGTATATTTATAATCTGACAAAAATTTATCAAACTAGGTTAGTGGATAATTCGGTAGCAAAAGTTACTCTAAAAAAATCAGTGCACAATAATTTTAGAAATCCAAACATTTAGTGAAAAAACTATATTTTGTGGGGAACAAATAAAAGTGTTGCACTAAATATGGTAATACTATAAAATTAAAATACATTTCTTTTAAATGTATAGCATATTTTTTAATAAGGCAACAACATATGATAGATACGATAGGACAACAAATACAGTGCAGCAAGAACCGTTTTTATACGGTCAACCCTCAACGGACACCTTGGCAATTGAATTGCAATTGGCTAGTATATTTTTTTGTTTACTCGCCAGACTGAAATACTATATATATATACAGTGGGTACGGAAAGTATTCAGACCCCCTTAAATTTTTCACTCTTTGTTATATTGCAGCCATTTGCTAAAATCATTTAAGTTAATTTTTTTTCCTCATTCATGTACACACAGCACCCCATATTGACAGAAAAACACAGAATTGTTGACATCTTTGCAGATTTATTAAAAAAGAAAAACTGAAAAATGCTCAGTATTTAGTAGAAGCACCCTCTTGATCTAATACAGCCATGAGTCTTTTTGGGAAAGATGCAACAAGGTTATATCCACTGGATTTGGGGATCCTCTGCCATTCCTCCTTGCAAATCCTCTCCAGTTCTGTCAGGTTGGACGGTAAACGTTGGTGGACAGCCATTTTTAGGTCTCTCCAGAGATGCTCAATTGGGTTTAAGTCAGGGATCTGGCTGGGCCATTCATATGTGTACAGTGCAACAGCAAAGAGCTTTTTTTACATTTTAGAGAAACCAAGTTGCGATACCGTACAGGACCACATGGAGATGCCAAAAAACCCTAAACCAACCACCTGCTGACTGCATTTATCTACTACACTGCACGGATCCATTCAGAATAACTAAACACGGCAACATAAACATGACAAATCAAAACATTCGTGAATGTGTGTGGAAACAACATGAATGTACGGAAATGCCTGTGCATAAATACAATGTGCAATCAGTGCGTCAAGAGCACTCATACACGCATTATTATAATTAGTGGTCGACCGATATATCGCCAAAGCCGAAATATCGGCCGATATCTGCCATTTTTTCAAATATCGGCATTGGCTGATAAGTTTTTCTGTTTAGCCGACGTGTTCGAGGCGGGACTTTTATTTTGACGGCGCTGAGAGCGGCTGCGGCAGCGCCCGATCACACAGTGCTCACATTCTCCCTCTTGTTCGCTGTTGTCATTCAGTTCTGTCTAATAATCAGATAGAACTGTTAAACAAAGGAATTAAAATGTATACAAAAAAGCATTATAACGATTGCTTTAATATTATTAAAGGCAAACATTATAATACTTTCTCGTTTGCCGTTAGCATTCCACAAATACGCATTTATATAATTTATACAAATCTTTGAATGACTAATGAACATTTAATTTCACAAACCTTGCAGACTTAGTCGAATCTAGTTGAGATCTTGTCAAACTTCCCAGAATACTGAGTGCCCTGCTGGTTACAGTATTTACTTCCTTTTTAATGAGATTTTTATTAAATATTTATTTATATGTAAAATTACTTTTGTCTTCTAGAGTACAAGTATGTTTATTTTACACGTTTATTTTTTAATCCATTTTCAAATGTTTTCAAATTTCTTAAATATGAATTAAAATATTTATATCGGCCACACTGCTTAAGATATCGGCTGTCAAAAAACCAGTATCGGTCGACCACTAATTATAACTGACTCACGCGTGCTTACTGTACTGTACGACTCCTGTATGCCACCGCAGTCGTCGTTACCTTGATTGCAGTCTTCATCCATCAAAACTTTACTAGCGCGACTGGTTATCCAGTCGAGAAAACGTAGTTTGCGTCTCATCTGGTCATACAGCGGTGGGATGTGTTTAGAATACTTCACACAGCGCGACGTGCAAGAGCTTGCGCTCTTCAGAGACAATCACAGAATATGACCGAGCTCGTAAAAGCGAAACACACTGAAATGAATAATTAACTGAAAACGCAACACGAGTCTCTGTTCTCTCTGCAATCTCTGATGTAATCAGCCTGGTTTCCTTTATATTAGCGCTGTTTTGGACTGATTGTTTAAATGCATTCTCTTACTGGATCATTGGACTGAAAACTTTCTCAGAGTTTAGCGGCTTAAAATGATCTGATCACAAGCAGAGAAGCAAAATTGGGTTAAAGGGTTAGAATAGAAATTGTGCTTTAGTAATTTTGCGTTAATTGCATTAAATTATTTTAACGTGTTAAGGATTGTAAAATTAATCTCATGCGTTGTTGACAGCCCTAATATATATGTATATATATTTGTGTTTAATGTATATATGTACAATATTTAATATTTTTCTTATATTCTTGCTATATTATGTGTGTATTATATATTGCATAATTTAATTTGTGTGTATTTTCTAAATGTTTATTCACACATACAAAGTTTAGCGGGGTTGAAACGTGGATCTGAACGTGTTCTTTGAGATTCACCCTTCTACTGGAGGTTGACATGCTACAGTCTGTTTATTGTTATAATTATACACCCAGTGAATAATGTTGTGTCTGTTTATAGTCATTGGTCGGGGTGGAGAGCAGATCAGTAAGATCCAGCAGGAGTCTGGCTGTAAAGTTCAGATCGCTCCAGGTGAGTCAAGTGGGCTTTTCTCTCCTCTGTTTTTGATATTAGCGTGTTTAGAAGTATGAGGCGTGATGTAACATGTTGGTTTTGTGTGTTCAGACAGCGGCGGTCTTCCAGACAGGAGTGTCTCTCTCACCGGCGGCCCTGAAGCCATCCAGTATGTTTGCGCTTACTCACACGTTTAACTTCAGTGTGGATCTGTTTGATGTTGGTTTGACCTCTTGACCGGTTCATGCAGGAAGGCCAAAATGCTGCTGGATGACATCGTCTCTCGGGGGCGGGGCACTCCTCCCTCCTTCCACGAGTCAACCAATGGGAACGGCCACATGCAGGAAATGATCATTCCGCCAGGGAAAGCGGGTCTCATCATCGGCAAAGGAGGAGAGACCATTAAACAGCTGCAGGTAGAGTTTGTGCCCGTCTGTGAGTGCAGAGAGGCTTTTATCTAGAGCAGGGGTGTCAAACTCAATTCCTGGAGGGCCGGAGCCCTGCACAGTTTAGATTCAACCCTAATTAAACACACCTGATCCAACTAATCAAGTCCTCTAGGCTTATTTGAAAACTGCATGGTATGAGTGTTGGAGCAGGGTTGGAAACCCAAAACTCTGCAGGGCTCCGTCCCTCCAGGAATAGAGTTTGACACCCCTGCTCTTGAGGATTGTGGGTAGTTGGAGGGAAGTAGGGCTTTGTCACTTTTCTTTTTAAAGAAATTAATGCTTTTATTCTGCAAGGATGCATTAAATATTTATATTTTATAATGTTACACAAGATTTCTGTACCAAATAAATGCTGTTCTTTTGAACTTTCTATTTAAAGAAAAAACGTATCATAGTTTTCACAAATATTCAGCAGCACAACTGTTTTCAACATTGATAATAATCAGAAATGTTTCTTGAGCAGCAAATCAGCATATTAGAGTGATTTCTGAAGCATCATGTGACACTGAAGACTAGAGTAATGATGCTGAAAATTCAGCTTTGATTACAGGAATAAATTACATTTTAATATAAGACAATATATACTATACGAAATATATAAATTTTGAATGCTAATAGGCAGTTCTTAGTCATCTTCTCTACATGTTTGTGTTTCAGGAGCGCGCTGGCGTGAAGATGATTTTGATTCAGGACGCTTCTCAGGGGCCAAACATGGACAAACCTTTGCGCATCATTGGAGATCCTTACAAAGTCCAGGTGTGACCGTTTTCTCCATTTCTCCTCTCCCCTGTTACGGTTCCTTGTTTTGTTTGTTCTTCTCTTTTATGACCTGTTGTACCTCTAACAAGCCAGTTAAGATATTGGCGCTCAGGGTTGGTGTGTCATTTCTCTCTGTAGCAAGCGCGTGAAATGGTGCAGGAGATTCTGCGAGAGCGGGATCATCCCGGCTTCGACAGAAATGAGTACGGCTCTCAAATAGGTGGAGGAATGGAGGTGCGGCGTTGATTTAATCATTTACATTGCAGCTTGTTTTCCATTTGAAATGTGTGATGGCGTCTCATTCTGATTGGACAGGTGCCTGTTCCGCGTCACTCTGTGGTTTTTCGAAGTTCTGTTTGAATTCTGTTAGTAACATTTTTACTGAAAGTTATCTAACAGATTTTTTTGAATGTTTCACCTGGAATAATTTATTTTTCCAATTAAGTCAAATACTGAAATGAGAAATCTTATGTTTGTTATAAGGTGGTGAGTTGGCTGTCAGTTGTTTTTTTCCATTACTACAGCATGTTATTAATATTAGTTTCTTTTAAATTACATTGATCTTGTCGTGAAAATATACAAGTCATAGATGCTGGTATGTCAAACAAACAATTTTTTCTGTATGTATGATTTAATACTTACACACACACATATATATATATATATATATATATATATATATATGTGTATGTATCAATCAAATGAAGGCATAGAACATTGTATTTTAAGAGTAATTAAATTTTTATTCAAAGTGATGCACAACAGAGGTTTACTGATAATATTAAACATGGAGGAAATAAAGTTATGTTGCTTCAAGTTGTGGTGGTTTGGTAGTTTTTCTCAATTGAACTGATGAAATGCTGGTGAAGTGACTGTTTCACAGCTAGTTCTGTTTTTCTGACTGGATTCCATCTGTTTGGTTGCTTTGGGTAATCTCTGTTCTGTGCGTCAGGGTCCTCCGGGCACAGGCATGCCTCCGGGTGGGCGTGGCAGGGGGCGTGGTCCAGGCAACTGGGGCCCTCCTGGCAGCGAGATGACCTTTTCAATCCCCGCCCACAAATGCGGTCTGGTGATCGGCCGAGGCGGCGAGAACGTGAAGGCCATCAACCAGGAGACGGGCGCCTTCGTGGAGATCTCGCGCCAGCCTCCGCCCAACGGCGACCCCAACTTCAAAATGTTTATCATCCGGGGATCTCCTCAGCAGATCGACCACGCCAAACAGCTGATCGAGGACAAGATCGAGGTACCGTAAACACCGCTTCTGTGCGTTATCTTGGAGTTTGCTAGGGCTGTGTATCACCAGCAAAGATACGATATGTATCCCGATACAGGACTGCACTAAGGGGCTGTTTACACCTGGTCACTTCATGCGTTTTATCTAATCGGATGGCTATCCGATCGTGAAAAGACCAGGTGTAAATGCTCTCTGAAACTCATTTAAATCCAATCGCTCAAACCACTTCAGGAGGTGGTCTGGGCCGCGTTCCAGACAGGTAGTTGACCTCTGCATTATTAAGGGCCTCCATAACTGTACCACAGTATAACCATATAGGCAAAGGTAATGGCTAAACTGCAAGCTTACCAGTGTTTTCAGAAAGCCAGCACTGTTATCTCCACAGTGGAGAGAGAGCGTGTACTCATGGTTGCCAGGTTGACAAAAATAAGTATCACACTTGGCAGATAATTGCGTACTGTGTAAGGGCTGGATACAGCTTCACACTTGCAAAGACCTGAGATGACCGAACACCCGAGAAGAGATGATGCCAATCCTCAGACAACCTACAAAACTACTAAATTTTGCTATAAGTTTGATCGCAACATATAATCATTGCTGTTAGTGTTCACCATCTGTTTGATTAAAGTGCATGTCATTAACTAACTGCTTGATTTTTACCGTACATTTCTGCCATATGAACATCAACTCGAGATCGTCACCACTGATAAGCTACTACTAAATATAATGTAGAAACTTAAATTTTCTGTAAAGCTGCTTTGCAACGATTTGCATCGTGAAAAGCGCTATACAAATAAACTTGAGTTGAATGGAAGCTTAGTTTCGGGGATTACGTCTCTTCATATCAGGCAACCCAGTTGTGTTCCTCTTAAAGCCAGATTAAATTTAGTTGTAGTCTATATATTATACTCTATTCATTATTTTTTTTAGAGACTTTGCACTTTTAGAGACCTTACACCGTTTTAAACACTGTTCTTGTATTCAAATTAAGCGCGGTCCACTGCTGTGCACATGCTGTGATATCGATACTTGGACTGCTGTATTGATACTCGTATCGTCAAATCTCTGTGACGATACATCGTCGTATTGAACACAGCCCTAGTGTTTGCTGGCTTTAACTGGTCTGCTTCTCCTCGTAGGGTCCCCTGTGCCCTGTTGGACCTGGACCTGGACCTGGACCGGGTGGACCGGGCCCCGCTGGACCCATGGGCCCCTACAACCCGAACCCGTACCAGCCCGGACCCCCTGGTGGACCGCCACAGTTAGTACTACTTTAATGGCAAATCAGCTTCAGGGAAAGGGTTGATGTTTGGCTTTCCAGGTTTAGTTTGCACATGCTCACAGTGGTTCTCTCTCTGTGTCTCCAGCGGTGGTCCTCCTGGCGGTCAGTATCCTCAGGGCTGGGGAAACACATACCAGCAGTGGCAGCCACATGATCCCAGTGAGTCGTTTTGTACTGACGCTTTCAGTGTTTGTGTGTTAAAGTCTTGATAGGATTCTAGCACGTAATGAAACTAATTGAGTGCCTTATGCTACTAGAGTCACATGTCTGTTCAAGTTCTCATGCTCGGGTCACATTGCATTTAAAGTCATGGATTTTTTTTTAATTTTAACTTTAAATTATAGTAATAAATTGATTCCAATTTGTAAAATAGTCAAACTGTATTTTGTGAAGTACTACCATTATACAGGTATTTAAAAAAATACTTTATTTAATAATTTAATAATACTATTTAAAGTTGAGGTCAGTAGTTTTTTTTAAATTTTTTTTTTTATGTTTTTGAAAAAAAGTGTCTTCTGCTCACCAAGCAGGGCTCCAGACAAAAAAAATCGAGTAAGGAGCCATTGGCTCCTATAAGAAACAAACTTGGGCGTCAAATTATTGTTTTAGGTGCCACAGACGTAATTTAACATTTCAATCATACTGTCATGTTTGTCTCATCTTTTCTTGAATTTATCAGCATTTTAATCCATCTTGTCGATCACCTGGGAACTAAGGTTCACTTAAAGTGGGAACTAAACGTCTTTTCAACTTGAAATATACAGTCACAAAGAACTGTTTATTACACAGAATCTGTACCAATATCATGGACCATAAGCATCACTTGGCCATTGAGTGTACACTTAAGTAATTGCAATTTAATCAATTTAAGTTAGTCCAACCTAAAATAAAAAGTGAACACAACACATTTTCAAACTGGTATTTGCCAGTGTAACTCAGAATTGTCAAGTTCACTTAACTTATTTCTTTCATTATGCATGAAGTTTATTTACTTTAAGGCAACAGGTTTCCTCAATTTTTTAAAAGCAAAGTCAACTGATCGCTTTTTACAGTGTAGTTTGGGCTCCTCAATGCATCCAATAGAAATGTTGTCATGTCTTTCACACATCCAGTCGGTTTTTCTTCATTAGTAACATGCAATTTTATAGGACATTGAATTTTATCTTTAGCTTGCATTCTTGCATTTCTTATATTGACAACAGGTTAAGTAAAACTATTAATATGCAATAGTGTCTAAATATAGCAAAATGCTCTTCTTTATAGTTATTTTTCTAGCTGACTGATGAGCTTACGGACACCGAATGGTTATTCTGAGGTAAATGTGTTACGTGGCAATGTTTACAAGCTTTACACGTTTTGCGCAGTTTGAAACACCGAATGAGCGATTGCATGAGACATTTCAGTAAGTTGTACTGTAGGCTCTCATAAAATTAGCCTACCTTTTGATGTTGATTCATGTTCGTTTCGTACAAGTAGAGAAAGTTATAATGGGTTCACTTGCTGCTTGAACTGAGGGCACTAAAGCGATCGCGCCTGTCGCATTAAAGAGCGCCAAAACTGTATTTATTAATTTCGTTATGAATTTGACTTTTAAAGCTGATACTTTATTAAAAAAAGTAACAGCACTACGTTTTTTGCGATTACTGGACTGCAAGTGCTCTACAAATAGGCTAATATGAAGTTCACGCATTAACAGAACACCGCATATAGACTAATATCTTGATAAGAAGCCATATTAGTAATGATTATAAACGAGAATTGTTAATGATATTGCCAGTATCCACACAGCTGACAGCTTTACCTGTTGTAGTTTGTTCAAGTTGTGCACGAAATAGACATTGCTTTTGTGCACTTTTACTTGCATGTCTCTGTCATTTCGATCTCTCTCGTGCTGCGTTTAGCAGGTGTGCTGCAGAGATGACGACTGTTTGAAACTGGGTTTTTTTTTTTTTCACAAACTTTGATGCACATCGTCTCAGTTTAATATGTGAACAAAACATATGATCGCAAAACAATCAGGAAAACTAAGTCATAACATGCAAAATGTATATAGTTGCCAGTGGTGACCTAAGCAAAAACGTAACTCAGAAATTAATATTTTGGTTGCAAATGCGACCATTTTAGTCGCAGTCTGGAGCCCTGCCAAGGTTGCATTTGATCAAAAATACTGTTTAAAAAAAACAACAACAAAAAACTAGTGCTGTCAAACGATTAATCGCATCCAAAATTAAACGTTTTTGTTTGCCTAATGTATACTGTGTATATTTATGTGTATATGAATACATGCACGAATATATTTTGAAAATATTTACATGCATATATTTATTTATATAATTTATATATATATATATATTTAATAGTAACAGCACTAAGTTTTTTGCGATTACTGGACTGCAAGTGCTCTACAAATAGGCTAATATGAAGTTCATGCATTAACAGAACACCGCATATAGACTAATATCTTGATAAGAAGCCATATTAGTAATGATTATAAACGAGAATTGTTAATGATATTGCCAGTATCCACACAGCTGACAGCTTTACCTGTTGTAGTTTGTTCAAGTTGTGCACGAAATAGACATTGCTTTTGTGCACTTTTACTTGCATGTCTCTGTCATTTCGATCTCTCTCGTGCTGCGTTTAGCAGGTGTGCTGCAGAGATGACGACTGTTTGAAACTGGGTTTTTTTTTTTTTCACAAACTTTGATGCACATCGTCTCAGTTTAATATGTGAACAAAACATATGATCGCAAAACAATCAGGAAAACTAAGTCATAACATGCAAAATGTATATAGTTGCCAGTGGTGACCTAAGCAAAAACGTAACTCAGAAATTAATATTTTGGTTGCAAATGCGACCATTTTAGTCGCAGTCTGGAGCCCTGCCAAGGTTGCATTTGATCAAAAATACTGTTTAAAAAAAACAACAACAAAAAACTAGTGCTGTCAAACGATTAATCGCATCCAAAATTAAACGTTTTTGTTTGCCTAATGTATACTGTGTATATTTATGTGTATATGAATACATGCACGAATATATTTTGAAAATATTTACATGCATATATTTATTTATATAATTTATATATATATATATATTTAATATAAACAACATTTGCCTCTTAAATATATATACGTGCATGTGTGTGTATTTGTATATAAATAATAAATATACACAGTACATACTAGGGATGGGTACCGAGAACCGTTTTTTTTTTTGGGACTGGTACGTAATTGGCTCAATACCGGACTACCGATAAGCCTCAGGACAAATGATACCATTATCGATACTTGCGTAGTTTTGTTTATCTCCGTATGCTTCAATGTTAACAACGAATTAGAAGCTGGTGCTTATCATTTCCCTTCACTGAATGATGTGGCCGAGGTTTGCTCGATGTGCGTGTGATGTCCATGCGCATGTGTGGTGTGTGTTTGCGTGCAATCAGTCATCGCGTCAAGAGTGAAACGTTTGAAAGTGTGGGCTCATGTTACAAAACTAAGCAACACCAGTGTCCGATGCAATATATGCAGTAGTGTAATAGTGAACAAAAGAGGTAACACTAGTAATATAATGAAACATTTACTAACAAAATACAACATCTACCTCAAGCAATGCACTGTATTAGGCCATGTCTCCCGGCTCCAACTGCAACTCGCGAGACACATTCACATCAAATGTTGATTCGGTAGAGTTACACTCACGAGACACTGCACTTATTTGCAATCACAAAAGTACATTATTTGCGTGTAAAGCCTTGCCGGTTAAACTTTCATTTGCGTGCTGCTAACGTGCTTATTCAGAGCGCGTAACGGTTACACCCGAAGCGTCCGTACACTAAAAGGCCGGTCAAACTGCACCTGATTACTTTATCGTTTGATTGCGCTAATACTGTCAAAAACACACAAGGTTTACATATACACAGCTATGTCTAAAGTAAACATTTGAGAGAAAAACATGTATGCGGCTCTTAAAGGGACAGTAGCTACTAAACATGCTGCCGATTGTGATTAAAGGGATAGTTCACCCACAAATTTAATTTGTCATAATTTATGACCCAAAGTCATGTTGTACCAGACCCGTATTAATTTGTATTCTTGTGCTGAACACAAGATATTTTGAAGAATGTGGGTAACCAAACAGTTGCTGGTCCCCACTGACTTTAATAGTAGGAAAAAACAAATATGAAAGTCACTGGGGACCAGCAACTGTTTAGTTTGCCACATTCTTCAAAATAACTTTTTATGTTCAACAGAAAAAAGAAACCCATTCAGGTTTAAAACAACTTGAGAGTGAGTAAATGACACAATTTTCATTTTTGGGTGAACTATTCCTTTAATGTTAATAAAATAAAACACAAAGAGAAAAATAACTTGCTGCTCTTGACTGAAGAACTTTAATACAGTTGCTAAAGTTCAGTAATTAATTTTCAACATCTTTTCACTTCGTATCTTTTTGCACCAAATAGTATCGATAACGGTATCGATAAGTACCGGTATCGATAAAATGTAAACGATACCCATCCCTAGTATACACACACATATTATGTAAACAAACTTTTAATTAGGATGTGATTAATTGCGATTAATCGTTTGACAGCACTAAAAAAAAATTGTAGTATTTTGAACTCCTTTCTATTGAAATATATTTTAAAATGTAATGAATTCCTGTGATCAACGCTGAATTTTCAGAACAGCTGTTTAAGGCTGGCCGCACACTAGACCATTTTAAACCCGATTTTCATCCCCGAACGATCGGAGGGTGTGGCCCAATTCGAGGCTTGTCGCAAACGTTTTTTTGGTCCAAAAAATCGTCTATTGTGTGGTGTCATTACAATTATTTATCTGCTCCCAATCGAGACGGAGCGTCGGCGAACTCAAATCGTGAATATCAAACATGTTTGATATTTATGACACTTGCTCGGGCTGCCTCTGACGTGATAGCCGCTGATAGTCAATGAGAGCGAGCAAGCGTCACCTACCAGATGTTGCGTGCTTCTGTAGCTGAAATGTGGCAGCCACAAACATGCCATAAAAGCAGAGTACTGAGAACATCACCCATATTCGTTGTTATACTGTGTTTTTTCACTGTCAAACAGAACGTGCGCCAGGAGAACCAGCTGACAATGTTGATTGTCCTTTATTTGTTTTTCTTCTCTAGTCACGTTTGGTCTCGCGAGTCTCAGTGGGATCACGTGTCACTGTGAAATCGTTCCTACTATCGACAAGTGTGTGTGGTCTTACGGTCTGGTCGAATCGTCTACTGTGTGCGTTCAGAGGATTATAAGGCTAAAAATCGGTTGAACTGTCTTCATGTCTGTGGTCTCCCATAATTTTAAAATTGTTTAAGATTTGAAAATCGTCTAGTGTGCGGCCAGCCTAAAGCAGTTGTGCGGCCAGCCTAAAGCAGTTGTGCTGCCGCTTTTTTTTGGAAACCGTGATTTATTTAAAATGGAAATCTTTTGTAAAATATTAACTAAATTAAAACATAACTATTTCAGCCAGTTGCCAAAGCAATGTTGTCATTTTAATTTAACTCAAAGTACTACAATATCTAAAGAAACTAAAACCAATAAATAAAAATTGCTGAAAACTACTAAATATTTTACTAAATATTAATTTCTCTAAAAAAAAAAAATAAAAAAAATAACTGTCCCCAAGCTTTTTAACTTAAAAAAAAAAATGGGTGAATGGTTCCTTTTAAATTGAGTGATTTTATTTGAATTAGCAACTTACAGAGACGAGCAGAGCCTCAGGATAAACGAGATCAAATTAATGCTGAGTATCTGAAGTATAAAGGGGATTTCTGTCTGTTTCTCTCAGCTAAAGCAGCAGCGGATCATAACGCGGCGTGGGCGGCTTATTACGCACAGTACTACCAGCAGCCCGGAGGGGCCGCCATGCCCGGACAGGCGCCTGCGGCCCAACCAACCGCTCCCGCTCCTGCTGACCAGAGCCAAGCTGTTCCTGGAGCCGCCCAGCCTGACTACACCAAGGCCTGGGAGGAGTACTACAAAAAGATGGGTACGAGCGCTCATTCCTCATTGTGTTTGTTAAATAGTAGAGAAATGCATGTGAATGAATGTGCTGGCAGATCAGTGTTTTGATGCTGAGACTCTATCAGCTGCAGCAGGAGGAGGCGCTGCTCCCGCCGCAGGAGGAGCTCAAGCCCCGGGAGCTGCAGCAGCGGGACAGACGGACTACAGCGCTGCATGGGCCGAATACTACAGACAGCAGGCTGCTTATTACGGACAGACGGGACAGGCCGCGGGACAGCCGGGCGCCACACCACAGGGCCAGCAGGTACACACACACACACACACACACACACACACTAATCACAGGTTTATATGTGTCTGAACAGCCTTTGATGGCATGTAGATTGCATGATTACTCTACTTCTTACATCTAATCTTCAAAGTAATCATTTAACTAGTTTAAAGTTGTTTGACATTTTACCTGACAAATATTTGTTTTTGATGCTGAAGGTGAAATTAGAGCCATTTAGTCACACTATTAAAAGGGGTCATGATGGATTTTTTTATATATATATATGTTCCTTGAGGTTTACATGTGTTAATGAAGCTTTTTGCACAAAAAAGCAAGTGTGGACAAATGATTTTCAACCCTCATTTTGAATCTCTATCTACAATGACCTGTTTTTAAGAGGTGTGTCCTTTAAGGCTTGTCAGTAATCGGCCACTGTTATGATTGGCCAACGTCATTGCATAGGAAACGGTATCAACACCCCGTTGCTATTGCTTGTTTTGAGTGTTTTGACTAGTGATCGACCAATATTGATTTTTTTTTCATAAACATGCAAATAACTGGTATCGTATCGGTTATGTAACCGATATGCAGAACCGATATTTATTTACTGTTATAAAGTAAATAAATGACTGAGTGAAGTAAGAACATATTTCACTTTGGTTTTTCCTGTTTTCAGTTTTTTTAAGTGTTGAAAATTAGCAGTCTTTCATGTTAAATTTAATCTTCATATTACAATAAAAAAACATTGTTAATCTTAGTGTTGCTGCTGTTTTTCATAAATAAAATAAGCAAAATAAATGTAGAATGTCTAATGTTTTCAAATGGAGAAAATAAATAAAGGACAGGAGTCATATCAACTTCATTTTAAACTACAGTTTTAGTAGGTTTATAAGCTGTTTAATAGCTACAGAGTCAAGAATAATTCACTGAATAATATTCTCTGGAATATTGGAATATAACAAACAAAACATCATATTTTATTGCATTTCTCAATCTAGAAGGACAAAAACATTATTAATAATTCTGATAACATTCCGGTTATGAAATGCCTGCTAACAGCACGGTTTATCTATGCATTTACACAGAACTATACTCAAACTGCGATCGCTCGTGGAGATAATTAATTTCCATAGAGTTGTATTTATTTAGATGTTTATTAGCGAAATAATGATTATATAGTAAATGTTAATACAATTTAGGGTGTTTTAAACAAGTGAATCTTGTTAAAAGTTCCATGCGGTGGCCGTGCTGGAGCATTTCCTGAGCATCAACCCGGTGAGTGAACGGCGATATGAAATGAGACTTCACGAGACTAATGATGAGCAAATATACAACAGAGAGACATGCGCTCATTCATGGCTGTATTATTTAACTCATGCAAAGTTGCGTCTTTATTGGGAGAGGATCTTGACGGATTATCTACATGACTCCGTGAGTTGGTCTCTATTTCTTAAATGCCTGATATGTAGTTTATGCAGCTTGGCTCTATGTAATGCATCTAATTTGTGCATAAATGGCTATGTTAAATAAAGTTTACTAACTACAGCAAATCAAGTACCTGCATGCCGTTGTTGTCTCGTCTCCCCTCAGACGCGCTGCAATGGCGATCCTGCGCGCAATTCTCAAAACACCCACAAGATGGCGGCGTTTATCGGTGAATCCGATATTACAAAACCGATATCCGATTATGGTAAAAATGCTTAAATATCGGGAAAAATCTTGGCAAATCGATATATCGGTAGATCTCTAGTTTTGACAATATAATCAAAAAAATTAAATAAAACCGTCATTTCCAGACAAAGCATTATGAAATCATTTACTTATGGTTTGTGTTGCAGCTGCAGTCAGATCTAGTTCATCTGCTTCATCTTTCAACAATTTTTTTCCTTGTGAACTCTCCATGACACTGTGCCTCGTTTACAAAACAAAACAACATGATCCGGGGTGGCAGTAAAAATAAACTATCCACTTGTTCCTTACACTGGGATCCTTCTGATATCTGTACATAGACGCGAACCAGCTGTTTAAACCAAACAAAGTGAACATTCTTTCACTGCATTTGTCTGATTGACGACTGTGGATACAGTATACAGATGAGCGTTGACTTCCTGACAGTGTAGACAAGACAGCGGCAGTGATTGTCATTTCGATTTGCTTTTGACCGGATGCCACACTGATTAAGCATGATCGAGAGGCAGCCGTTAGCAACTGAAGGAAGGTGGCTCTGGAGGAGGCAGTGTTTATGCAGAGCTAGGAGCTTGATTAAATGCTTTGTTTATGAGTAATGAGGAGGATGTTTTAAGCTATGAAACTAGCAGGTTGTTTTAATGGTACGAAGACCTCTTGTATGCCAAAAGATCAAGGCAAATTTGATTTCTCATGTCATGACCCCTTTAAAGTTTGTTTGCCAACTTAAAATTCATACTATTTAATTTCTATAAAATTAATGGAATGTTTCATATTGAGTTTTATTTCTTTTGTTAATTATGCATATACACACACCATTCAATAGAATATCTGTTAATTATAATTATAAACAAAATGATACATGCAGAAGTTCAGTGGCTATAGTTTTGTTTCTACATGCAGTGATGCCGGTGACTTCTCGTCTCTCCGCAGGCGCAGTGAAGTGACTGTTGTTGAGCTCTCGTCCGTCTGGCTCCTTCCCTCCATCCTCTCACTCTCCTCTGACAAAAGGACTTCTGCTCTTCCCTCTTCCTTTTCTTTCTCGTGTCCAGCTGAAAAGCTCTGTGACTCTCTTTCTCCTCTGAAGCCGGATTTCTGTCTTTATGAAACGTTACGGCTTCAAACGCTCTTGTTTCTCCTCCTGGTTTTTGCTGGATCCACAAGCGCTGATGGACTAAACTCAAACTCTGCCTTCCCCTCAACAAACGCTTCATCCCTCCTCTTCCTCTCATCAGTGTGACTCATGGCCAGGAGACACAAGGGAATGCTTCTTCTAACTTCCTCACATGAGCGTGCACTTCCTGTTTTTGCATTAAAAAAATTTTTTTTTTTTTTTTGAGGAAATCGGCCCATTTAGAGAATCTTCAGGTGTTAATAACTACTACTGTGTTTCAAACTCAATGAGTAACCATGTCTTTTTTTTTTAATGCCTTTTTGCTTTTAGTCCTTTTAAGTTGATTTTGAGCTGGAACATTCCCATTGTTTAACGTGTTCTTTCTTTCTATTCATTTAGTGAGTTTTTTTTTTGTGATTAATTTTTTTCCTGTGATATCAAATGGGGTTTCAGTCTCTGTGTGAGGGAAATCGGTCCATTTAGAGAATCTTCAGGTGTTAATAACTACTACTGTGTTTCAAACTCAATGAGTAACCATGTCTTTTTTTTTTAATGCCTTTTTGCTTTTAGTCCTTTTAAGTTGATTTTGAGCTGGAACATTCCCATTGTTTAACGTGTTCTTTCTTTCTATTCATTTAGTGAGTTTTTTTTTTGTGATTAATTTTTTTCCTGTGATATCAAATGGGGTTTCAGTCTCTGTGTGAGTGTGTGTCTCGTGTGTGTGTGTGTGTGTGTGCGCGAGTGTGTTCCGATACTGAAGCAGTGTTGCTCCTCACTCTGTGAAAAGAGGGTTTCTTTTTTTTCCCCCAAGTTATTGAAAGTCATGATGTTATAAATATATAAATTGTATGCTTTTTTTTTTACTGCTTGTTTTTAAAAACTACAAAATAAACATTACAAAATCCTCATCTGATCACATGACCAGTGTTCAGTCTGAAAGTGTTTGTTGACGGTCTAGGTTTTGAAAGGCAAGCATCACCATTACTTTTGCTCATTCTGGTTGGTAACTAAAAGAGCCGCCCAAACATTTCTCTATAAAGGGACAAAAACTTTAAGGGTTATGGGATGAAAGTAAATATTACAATATCTAACTTTTTTCTCTTATTTGTGATATTCTTTATCAAATTCCCTTTTCTGCATTCTAATGCCAAAAAAAGTTAAAAGATTGATTTGAAATGAAAATGTGCTTCAATGGCATTCTATTTCTTTTTTTGGTAACACTTTAGAATAGGGAACACTTACTCACTAACTACGATTTTTCCCTCAAATTCCTAATTTGCTGCTTATTAACAGTAAGGTAGTTGTTAAGTTTAGGTATTGGGTAGGATTAGGGTTGTAGAATAAGGCATTAAAATGTGCTTAATTATTACTAATAAATGGCTAATATTGTAGTAATATGCATGCTAATAAGCAACTAGTTAAGAGACCCTAAAA